TACACAGCCTATTGGTAGCATAACAGATTTAGGATTCACGTTTCCTGCCTCCCAGCTGGGTACTTTTTTTTTTTTTTTGAGACAGAGTCTTGCTCTGTCAGCCAGTGGTGCAATCACGGCTCATTGCAACCTCTCCCTCCCAGGTTCAAGTGATTCTCCTGCCTCAGCCTTCAGAGTAGCTGGGATTACAGGCACCCACCACCATGCCCAGCTAATTCTTGCATTTTTAGTAGAGACAGGGTCTCACCATATTGGCCAGGCTGGTCTCAAACTCCTGACTTTGTGATCCACCGCCTCAGCCTCCCAAAGTGCTGGGATTACAGGGATGAGCCACCGGACCCGGCCCCACGCTTGCTACTTTTTACGTTAAGTCATCCTGTCTCCCATTCAGTTTTATGACCTTGAGCATATCACCCACCAGTCAACAAATATTTTTAAAGACCTAACAACAAGCAACAAAATATCCAACCATAATAAATTTAAACAAATAAAAAGCTTATTTTTGTTTCATAACAAGAAGTCAGGAGGTAGACACAGTCACTGGTATTAGTTCAGAGGTTTAATGATGCCATGATGGACCCAAAGAATTCTTTCAATTCTATTGTGTTTGTTGTTGGCTCTTATCTACATGACTGCTGTCTCATGGTTGCAAAATGGCCACAGTAGCTCCAGGTATCACATATTTTTTCAATATTTCACTTAACACTTTTAAAGTCCCATGCATGTAATAAGGTACTTTGATTTTAAAACCATGATAGCTGTATTCTTTTGTAGACGCTCCATCAAACTAAGGAAAATCATTCCCTTTATAGTTGATAAAGGCTTTTTTAAAAAATCATAAATGGGTGTTGAATTTTGCCAAATATTTTATTACATTGACTGAGATCATATGAATCATATGAATTTTCTTCTTTATTCTGTTTATGTAGTGAATGACATTGATTGATTTTCAAATGTTGAGCCAGCTTTGCATTCCTCAAAAAAAATCTCACCTGGTAATGCCATCTTGCTCTTTTCAGATGTTGCTGGATTTGATTTGCCAATTTTGTTTTCTGGGTTTTTTGTTTGTTTGTTTGTTTTTTTGAGATGGAGTCTTACTCTGTCACCCAGTCTCTATGCAGTGGCACAATCTCGGCTCACTTCAACCTCCACCTTTAAGCAATTCTCCTGTCTCAGCCTCCTGAGTAGCTGAGATTACAGGCGCCCACCACCTTGCCTGGCTAATTTTTGTATTTTTAGTAGAGACGGAGTTTCACCATATTGGCCAGGCTGGTCTCAAATTCCTGACCTCTGGTGATCTGCCCGCCTCAGCCTCCCAAAGTGCTGGGATTATAGGCATGAGCCACTGCGCGCAACCTGGATTGGCCAATATTTTGTTAAAGTTTTTGCATCCATGTAAGAAATGAGGTGTGTGATTTTCTTTCCTTTTTATATCTTGGCATCAGGATTATTCTAAACTTACAAATTAAAAAGTGTTCTCTCCTTCGTTTTTTCAAAAGAGTTTATATAAAATCAATATTATCTTTCTTAAATGATTGATTAACATTTACTAGTGAAACCATCTTGCTCTGGAATTTTCTTCTAGGGACCTTAAAGATATGGGGTGATTCAAATGTTATACTTCTTCCTGTTCCAGTTTTGGGAAGCTGTACTTTTTGAATATTTTTTCCATTTAATGTAAATTGTTGAAACTGTCAGCATAAAGTTATTCATAATGTTTTCTTATATTTTTAATTTCTGTGTATCAGTAGGGAAATTCCTCTTTTATTCTTGGTATTTGTTATTTGTGTTTTTTTCTCCTGATCAATCTCACTAGGAATTTAGCAATTTTGTTAATATTTTCAAAGAACCAACTTGTGAGTTGGTTAATGTCTCACATTATTTTTTATTTTTATTTTTCTCCTATTCACTTTGGATTTAATTTGCTTTCTTATTTGAACTTCATAAGGTGGAAACTTAGATAATCGATTTCAAACCTTTTTTCTTTACTAACATAAACTTTTAAAGCTATAAATTTCTCTTTAAGGACTGCTCTGGCTGCATTCCACAAATTTTGATGTAGTTTCACTATCATTCTATATACAGTGTTTGTTTGTTGAGACAGAGTCTCGCTCTGTCACCCAGGCTAAAGTGCAATGGCGTGGTCCTGGCTCATTGCAAACTCTGCCTCCCGGATTCAAACGATTCTCCTGCCTCAGCCTCCTGAGTAGCTGGGATTACACGTGCCTGCCACCACGCCCAGCTAATTTTTGTATTTTATTAGAGACAGGGTTTCACCATATTGGCCCGGCTGGTCTGGAACTCCTGACTTTGTGATCCGCCAGCCTCAGCCTTCCAAACTGCTGGGATTACAGGCGTGAGCCACCGCACTCAGCCCAGTGTTTTCTAATGTTCTTACAACCATGCCTGGCATAAAGAACTTAGTGAGTATTCCCTACTGTTAGCTCCAGTATTTGTTTCTCTTGTTAACAAGTGAGAACAATCCCCTTCGGAGCCTCTTTGCTGTTTCCACTGACTGAAATACTATTCCTTCATATAGGCCAGGAATTCTAATAAATTTCCATCCATTGTGCAGGTGTGGCCTCAGACATCACTACCTCAAAGAAGCGTTCCCTGATGAACCAGACCGGAATGGTCCTCTCATACACTAAGTCAAATAGAGACCACAACCATCCCCCAAAAAATTCATGTCTGCCCAGAACCCATGAATGTAACCTTATTTGCAAATAGAGTCTTTGCATATAGAATCAAGTTAATATGAGATCATAAGATCACACTGGAGACCAGGCACGGGGCTCACACCTGTAATCCCAGCACTTTGGGAGGCCGAGGCCCGCGGATTATGAGGTCAAGAGATCAAGACCAGCCTGGCCAACATGGTGAAACCCCATCTCTACTAAAAATACAAAAATCAGCGGGGTGTGGTGGCGCACACCTGTAGTTCCAACTACTCAAGAAGCTGAGGAAGGAGAATCACTTGAACCTGGGAGGTGGAGGTTGCAGTGAGCTGAGATCGCGCCACTGCACTCCAGCCTGGATGACAGAGTAAGACTCCTCA